CTGTCAATTATTGGTCATTAAAACAGACCACGATTGAAAAAACTGTCATGTATGTTCTGTTGTTGTTTCAACACGATTGAAAAATATTATTATTAGATGCAATATATCGATTTCTAAAGATATAAGTCTTATTCTTCAATGTGTAAGTGGTTTAGTACAACATACATGACAAGCAGCAATAAAAATAAAACAAGACTCTAGAATCTAGAATTCAGCAATAGACTCCATCCCTTGCAGGGTAATGGCAGGGTTGTGTGCATGCTGTGTATGCACTCGTTCCATTTGCATTGTTCGCTTGTACGCATTGTTTTTTTTTCACAAGACGTCACATCTACATTCGAAACGGTCTAAAAGGTGTTGGAAACAGTATCTACTGTTAATCCCAGCAAAGTTAATGGCCACAGAAATGTATCCGTGAGCTTGTGATGATTTTCTGGAATGTTGAGTAATAAAGGAGATATGAGCTATTTTATGATAAATGTTCTTAACATTTTCTATTAAATTGTCAAATTGAATTGATTACCATACCCTAGTGGTGAGTAGTTTAAAAAAATTTTCCCATTATTCTATTACAGCACATGATTATGTACATTTTTGGTCAAATACAGTATATGACCTAATCATTGACCTTTGACCTTGATTTCTGACCTAATTAGGCAAAATAGAGATGTCCAAACAAATTATTCGTATTCATCATGAAAAACCACTCTAGAAAAAGTTCTTTGCCCCATTTCCCTCAAAAATGCCTACTGGACTTTTTACAGGCACATTTCTCGATATTTATCCCAGACTACTGCAATTCCTTCCAGAAATATTCTATTTGGAATGAGAGTGGCATATTGTGGTGGATGAGTCGATTAATAAATGTAAAAGGTGAATATTTCTTCACCTTGAAAGTAACATAAGCACATCAATTGAAGTTTAAGTAGAAACATTAATATTCTTGATATATCGGACACTAGCCGTGCCACATTAACTGGAATGCTTGCTCATGACGCGTTGTTTGCTTTGCTACTGTGCCTCTTCCCTCTGTGTGACAAGCCACGCCCTTCACACGTTGACGTCCACTCTTTCTTTGTTAGACATCATCATATACTGCTACTTTTTAGCAATACTATTTGACGATTCTCTCTATTGTAACGATCATATCAATTGTAATGGTACAGTACTTTTTAGAAATAGGAAAAGGTAGGTCGATAGGTAGGAATAGGTAGGTATTGGACATATTCCTTCATCTGTAGACATTCCATCTCATGGAAATGCTGCTGCCATTTTTAGGCACACACACGTGTGATCTCAACATGAGGCACGATTTCGGCAATAAATAAATAACATTGGCCTCATAAACAGCATAGAATGAAGTCACAGCAAACTCGCTGTCTCCCACTGCGCTTCCTCAACTTCGAAACCTATTTGAAGAAAAAGCTGACTTCAGATTTTGACTTCCTCATGTAACTTGAATTTATGCATAGCAACAGTAACGGCATCCCTGATTACTAATGCCGATTTTCCATAAACAACTTCGCGCAGTAATTTGGCTTACATTTCCATCAAGTGTAGTTGCACTTGTAAGACAAGCAGATATTTCCTAGTAGCATTTAAATAGATCTAGCGATTATTTTAATTACTTTTCACTACCGTCTAAGAGAAGGGATGTCTCATCCGCATATTTGGAGATTTTAAATATGGTATGGCATGACTTTATGCCATGTGTAGTTATAACAGAAAGTCAGTACAGTACGTTATATAGAATATCCACTTAGTATTTAATCAGCGATGCATACAGGTGTATAAGCTTCACGGTAGAATTATTCTGAATTCAATACATCTCTCTTTTGCAGATTCAATGTGACAATCGTCACCTGCAATGAAGTGAGGAAATCATTAGAAACTGCATCATCAGCAACACTAGGAGACATCGACCGCCGCCACATTGCCGACTACCTAGCACACACGATCGACGTTGCCAACCGCCACTATGTATTCAAGGAGACCGCCAATGTGGCAAAAGCTGCTCAACTCATTGGACGCCTGCAGGTGTAAGTGTACTTTCAAATATTTCTTAAATTAATTGGCATGTTGACATGAGTTGTATAGAATATATAATTTTCCTTGCATTCTAACATTTGTTGTGCACAGAGTGATAATGACATCTTACCAGTTTCCAATCACATATAAACATTTTACAGACACCCTGCAGCTACTCGAATGGATCCAGCCAGCGAGGATACAACCGGAAGTGAGAGCGCGACAGGCACTGACAGTGTGGCCCAGTTAGACAGGTACAGCATGTGTTTATATGCATTCCAATCCCTCCACCATATTTCTAGTAACCTGTGGGTGCTATGTTATGGTAGATTTAGTAGTTTGCGTGCTATGGCTCAAACCTGTTTGTGAATGAATGTTGTATACCTGTTTACTTTGTTGCAATATTAAAATATACTGGTTTAATATTACTCAAATCCATGTGGAAGCATAGCGGTGGTGTGGAGTGCAAACACCATTCACTACTTGTATTGTGTTCAGCAGATTGGGTACCCTAATCCTTGGACTTTCTATATTTATTTTTGTTTTTGCTCACATAAAGTATATACGTCCTCTTTAATTATGCATAGGGATAGTGCCTACAATCAGCTGTGCGTCATCTACCCACTCACCCTTGATGAGGATCCACCTACAATGAAGACCTGCAAGGACATCAACCAGCAAGACGAACAACGACTCTACAATCGATGGATGTACGAGCGAACGAAGTTGCGAGGCAAAGAACTAATCGGTTAGGCTTGAAATCATTTTTGCCATGGCCACACATGCGATGCATTGATGTATCAAAACAATTAAGATATGACTACTCTGCCAACCGAAAAGGCTGGCACTTGTTTTGGGCTAATTTGCATTGTATTAACACAGGCGCATTCCCAAGAACAAGACCATCACATCACGCATTGAAGAAGCTCATGAAGAAGAAAGGATGTGAGCAAAAGCCAGAGGACTACGTACTTGACAATTGGGTTCCATCATTAGGAAAGCGCGAAAATGTCGGGGAAGAGGTCCAATTAAAAAAGCTAATTATAAAGCAGAAATGGCCCGGCTTAACTGTTGCTCATTCGGAAAAGGGAAGAGGGGTTAAAACCACGCGTCCATTTAGTAAAGGTGAGGTAGTGTGTGACTACCATGGGCCACTGATTACCCGTGATGAAGGTGTTAAAAAACAAGAGGAAATGCTGGAGGGGGCTGTCCCATGCCCTTGCCATCCAAAGAAGGAATCCACCATTGGCCGATTAATTAACCATTCGAGAAAGTCAATGAAAATTAATATAAAGCCTGTTTGTGTAAGTCTTGGTGAAATAACTGTTCTATTCAAAGCGACCCGTGACATTGTTGTAGATGAGGAGTTGTATTTTAATTCTGGTGTTAGAATGTCCTCTTTTCATGGCGAGGGTGCAGAACTAGACTGGCTTGATGATTAGTAATAATTCTACATTGCAAGTAATCGTAGCAGTGTGGGTGGTTGCTTAAATGTTGGCTGGGCAGTAGTGTACCCCTACAACCCGGGAAATTTGTGGCAACTATCGTGTACTGTTACAAATTTATTTCAGCTGTGTATTATTGTACTGTATGCGTGGGTGTTCATGTTTCCATTAATCGTAGCAGTGTGGGTGGTTGCTTAAATGTTGGCTGGGCAGTAGTGTACCCCTACATCCTGGGACATTTCTAGTCAAAACAAATTTATTTCAGGTCTCTTTCACTTTAGTATTGTATGAATGAGTCTGCATGTCCATATGTTTACTTGGATTATCTGAATTATCGTAGTTAAGTTGTCTAGTACTAGGAAATGTTTTGCATACATTGACATACAAATGCTGATGTGGGAGGTTATATGGCAGCATTACCTGATTACCTTCTCGTGCTTCAATATTGGATTTATATTTTTACTGGATGCTTAAGAGTTTGCAATGACATGACGACGAAGAATGGCTGCGGACAGGATGAAGACAACCTACAATGGAAAGAACTAACCATCGTGAGGTTAAGGAGCACAAGACGCTGACACTCAACTTGCCAATTTTGCCATGGGACGATGAACAAGAGATGGTGAAGTATCAAAACAGTAGCGCCATAGTACAAGCAATGGCAGTATAATTATAGTTCACCAAGAGTCGTGCTGTCATTTAAATCCCCTAATGTTTCATGAAATAACAAACATATATTCATATGTAATTCTTTCCCTCATTAAGTGGTTCCAGACATATTACACGACGACGACGAAGCATTCTTTCTTTCTTTCGATTACTGCGGCCAGCTATTTAATGCATCAAACGACCTGGGCCAAAGACTGCACAGAGGTTAGTATACAGCAGTACTCCTGACATGTACGTTTCTGATGGGTACATGTATCTGGATCACACTCTGTTCTTCTCTTTGTTTTTCTGTGCGTCGTTTGTTATACTTTTACTGGATTACACACCTTTGCATAATCTCTCATCACTGGTTGATCGAATTGTTAGTACNAGAATAAGTCGCTGAGTGAAGAGAATTCGTATCGCTCAGGCAGAAGGGTAGACTGGAAAGAGAACTCAGGAAGTATGTGACGAATACGTGGCATTGACCATCATACTACAGGGAGAAGTCCAGCTGAACTCTTGTTTAATCGTAAAGTGAAGGGAAATTAAAGCAGATTTCCAGGCAGACAGTCGTAGGGATATGGAGGTCCGCGGATCGTGATGCTGAAAGAAAGGAAAGCGAAGATCTACGCTGACGAACGTCGCAACGCGCAATACTCTGGCGTTGATGTTGGTGAAAAGTTCTGGTCAGGAAAGAGAAAACCAATAAGTTTTCAACAACATTCGATCCCGGTCCCACACTGTCGTAAGGCAACATTTCGTAATAGTCTTGTAGTGGAGCTCCGAATGGTGCTGCATCTCTAGAATACTACTCATGTTAGGAATAGTGTCGAATGCTAGTACTCCCATACAGGACGATAGTGTAGAAGTACGCGTCACCCATGCTACCAATGATGAAACTGGAGCAATAGTGAGATCCAGACAGTGATGTCACTGATGTGTCAACAACTAATTATAGATCCAGGTGTTCAGGCTTCATCTGAAGATACGTTCTCAGATGCCACAATCTCTTGGACAACCCAGTATCGTAGATCTCACAGGCAAAAGAGAGTACCTGCTAAGGTACTCTGACTATGTAATGGAGTAAGATTCGTTTCTATTGTGTTGGAGATACAGTGTCTTGAGATTAGTTGTTCCACAGTTGTGTTACAGGAATAAGTTGAATTTAGTGCGGCGCATTGTATGTTATATGGCAAAGGGTTTATGCTTCCAGGGTTTTGTGTTCCTTTAAAGAAAAGAAGAGATGTAATGTTCTTATGTTGTATGTATGTATCGTTGGCGGGAAGGCGACACTCTCCGGATTCGAGGAATAAAGGTGGCGTTGAGTTTCACATATCTGCGTCTCTAATTATTGTAGTAAGAGTGACGTGAGTAATAATATCTACTCTAATTCATGCATTAGAGAGATACAACACCATGTGATCACTGATTACCGTGATGAAGTATTAAAAAACAAGAGGAAAGGCTTGGAGGGGGCTGTCCCATGCCTTGCCATCCAAGAAGGAATACCATGGCCGATTAATTAACCATTCGAGAAAGTCAAATGAAATTAATAATAAAGCCTGTTTGTGTAAGTCTTGGTGAAATAACTGTTCTATTCAAAGGCGACCGCGTGACATTGTTGTACGATGAGAGTTGTATTTTAATTCTGTGTTAGAATGCTCTTTCATGGCGAGGGTGCAGAACTAGACTGGCTTGATGATAGTAATAATTCTACATTGCAAGTAATCGTAGCAGTGTGTGTGGTTGCTTAAATGTTGGCTGAGCAGTAGTGTACCCCTACAAACCCGGGACTCTGTGCAACTATCGTGCACTGTTACAAATTTATTTCAGCTGTGTATTATTGTACCTGTATGCGTGGGTGTTCATGTTCAATAATCGTAGCAGTGTGGGTGGTTGCTTAATGTTGCTGGCAGTAGTGTACCCTACACTAGCGGACATTTCTAGTCAAAACAAATTTATTTCAGTCTCTTCACTTTAGTATTGTATGAATGAGTCTGCATGTCCATATGTTTACTTAGATTATCTGAATTATCGTAGTTAAAATGTCTAGTACTAGGAAATTTTGCATACATTGACATACAAATGCGATGTGGGAGTTATATGGAGCTTACTGCATTACATTCTCATGCTTTGCAAATACTTGGTATTATTTTTACTGGATGCTTAAGAGTTGCAATGAACATGACGACGGAAGAATGGTGCGACAGGATGAAGACAACCTACAATGGAAAGAACTACACCATCGTGAGAGTTAAGGAGCACAAGACGGCTGCCACTCAACTTGCCACATTTGCCATTGACGATGAACAAGAGATGGTAAGTATCAAAACCAGTAGCGTCATAAGCCAAATAGGCATATAATTATAGTTCTACCAAGTCGTGCGTTTCAATTTAAATCCTAATGTTTCATGAAAATAAACAAACATATAATTCATATATGTAAATTCTTTCACTCATTAGTGGTTCCAGACATATTACACGACGACGACGAAGCATTCTTCTTTCTTTCAATTACTGGGACCAAGCTATTTAATGCATCAAACGACCTGGCAAGACTGCACAAGAGGTTAGTGATACAGCAGCTATCCTGACATGTACAGTTTCTGATGTACATGTATAATCTGGATCACACTCTGTTCTTCTCTTGTTTTTCTTGTGCGTGTTGTTATTACTTGTTACTGGATTACACACCTTTGCATAATCTCTTCATCACTGGTTGATCGAAATGTGTAGTTATAACAGAAAGTCAGTACAGTACGTTATATAGAATATCCACTTAGTATTTAATCAGCGATGCATACAGGCGTATAAGCTTCACGGTAGAATTATTCTGAATTCAATACATCTCTCTTTTGCAGATTCAATGTGACAATCGTCACCTGCAATGAAGTGAGGAAATCATTAGAAACTGCATCATCAGCAACACTAGGAGACATCGACCGCCCGCCACATTGCCGACTACCTAGACACACGATCGACGTTGCCAACTGCCACTATGTATTCAAGGAGACCGCCAATGTGGCAAAAGCTGCTCAACTCATATAACTCATATAACTCGCGTAAGTGTACTTTCAAATATTTCTTAAATTAATTGGCATGTTGACATGAGTTGTATAGAATATATAATTTTCCTTGCATTCTAACATTTGATGTGCAGAGTGATAATGACAATCTTACCAGTTTCCAATCACATATAAACATTTTACAGACACCTGCAGCTACTCGAATGGATCCACCAGCGAGGATACAACCGGAAGTGAGAGCGCGACAGGCACTGACAGTGTGGCCCAGTTAGACAGGTACAGCATGTGTTAATGCATTCCAATCCCTCCACCATATTTCTAGTAACCTGTGGGTGCTATGTTATGGTAGATTTAGTAGTTTGCGTGCTATGGCTCAAACCTGTTTGTGAATGAATGCTATATACCCGTTTACTTTGTTGCAATATTAAAATATACTGGTTTAATATTACTCAAATCCATGTTGAAGCTTAGCGGTGGTGTGGAGTGCAACACCTTCACTACTTGTATTGTGTTTAGCAGATGTGTACCTAATCTTGATTTTTTATATTTATTTTTGTTTTTGCTCACATAAAGTAAATGTATACGTCCTCTTTAATTATGCATAGGGATGGTGCCTACAATCAGCTGTGTGTCATTACCCACTCACCCTTGATGAGGATCACCTACAATGAAGACTGGACAAGTACATCAACCAGCAAGACGGACAACGACTCTACAATCGATGGATTTGAGCGAACGAAGTTGCGAGGCAAAGAACTAATCGTTAGGCTTGAAATCATTTTGCCATGGCCACACATGCGATGCATTGATGTATCAAAACAATTAAGAATGATGACTCTGCCAACCGAAAAGGCTGGGCACTTGTTTTGGGCTAATTTGCATTGTATTAACACAGGCGCATTCCAAGAACAAGACCATCACATAACGCATTGAAGAAGCTCATGAAAGAGAAGGATGGAAGAAAAGAAGCTAGAGCCTACGTACTGCCAACTGGGTTGCATCAATAAGAAAGCGCGGTGAAAATGTCGGGAAAGAGGCCAATTAAAAAAAGCTAATTATAATTAAAGCAGAAATGGCCCGGCTTAACTGTTGCTCATTCGGAAAAGGGAGAGGGTTAAAAACCACGCGTCCATTTAGTAAAGGTGAGGTAGTGTGTGACTACCATGGATCCTGATTACCGTGATGAAGGTATTAAAAAACAAGAGGAAAGGCTGGAGGGGGCTGTCATGCCCTTGCCATCCAAAGAAGGGAATCCACCATTGCGCGATTAATTACCATTCGAGAAAGTCAATGAAAATTATAAAAGCCTGTTTGTGTAAGTCTTGGTGAAATAACTGTTCTATCAAAGCGACCCGTGACATTGTGTGTAGATGAGGAGTTGTATTTTAATTCGGGTCTAGAATGTCCCTCTTTCAATGGCGAGGGTGCGAACTAGACTGGCTTGATGATTAGTAATAATTCTAGCATTGCAAGTAATCGTAGCAGTGTGTGTGGTTGCTTAAATGTGGCTGAGCAGTAGTGTACCCTACAACCCGGGACATCTGGGCACTATCGTGCACTGTTACAAATTTATTTCAGCTGTGTATTATTGTACACTGTATGCGGGGTGTTCATGTTTCCATTAATCGTAGCAGTGTGGGTGGTTGCTTAAATGTTGGCTGGGCAGTAGTGTACCCCTACATCCTGGGACATTTCTAGTCAAAACAAATTTATTTCAGGTCTCTTTCACTTTAGTATTGTATGAATGAGTCTGCATGTCCATATGTTTACTTAGATTATCTGAATTATCGTAGTTAAGATGTCTAGTACTAGGAAATGTTTTGCATACATTGACATACAAATGCTGAGTGGGGAGGTATATGGCAGCATTACTGCATTACATTCTCATGCTTTGCAAATACTTGGTTTATATTTTTACTGGATGCTTAAGAGTTGCAATGAACATGACGACGGAAGAATGGTGCGACAGGATGAAGACATGATCGTTTGTAAATGGCCAACGTAATTTACTAAAGTTAATGAAGCGCGGTTTCTGAAAAACAATCTTTTAAGAAGTAAATAACGATTGAAGTGAATGTATACACATATCAGTAGCAAGGTAAAGCCATGTAGATGAGAACGGAGTTCGAAAAGATGGCGGCCGGCCTGTTAGGCGTTTCAGTTGCTCTCCTTTTATCGACAATTTTATACGCAAGGACCTCTTATCTCGACATCAGAGACGATAAACATGGAGGAACAAGTACCACAGACTCTCGTTTTAGTGATCTCAACGCCAAGAGTCTCCTGAATGGTTGAATTCTGATGTTCTTTTTCGAACTTTTGCAACGCTCGCGAGTCAACCTCGCCCCCAACAAAGGTAAACGTAAACAAACATGGCGGCGCCCAGTCGATGCACAGAAACTTTTCTTCGTACTGACACTCTACTATCTGGCGACGTTGAACTGAACCCAGGCCCCAAAATATCACATATCCATGCGGGGCATGTGCAAAACTGTGCGGTCAAACAAAAAGGCATCCAATGTGACCAATGCGACCTATGGCACCATTGCAAATGCATTAGCATGACCAATGAATCATACAAGCACTACCAGGACGATGACTCCCTGGAATATGTCTGCCCAACCTGTTCCCCTCAGGCAGAAAGTGATCCAGAAAAATGACAGTGACTTCACTGAAGGCTGGTCCAACTTCGCAAAGACAACCCGAAAAATATCATTGCTGCTCATCTGAATATAAACAGCATGAAAACGAAGTACACTCTCCCTAAACCAGATCCTGCATCAGAGGCTAGCCGACATACTGGTCATAGGAGAAACCAAACTCGATCATACCTTCTCCGACTCGATGTTCGTGTGCAGCGGTTACCATATATTTCGACGCGATCGAACGAAAGATGGCGGTGGCCTGATGGTTTACATACGCTCAGACATCCCATCCAGACGCGCCTCTGAGACCGAAGCAGAGGCGATCGAAGCAATCAACATCGAACTTCAACTCAAGGACAAGAAATGGCTACTGATGGCTGCATATAAGCCACCTTCCATGTCGAATACGATTTTCAGCGACGACATAGCCAAATCCATCGACAAAGGATATATTCGTGCCGAAAACTTACTTCTACTTGGCGATCTAAACTATAACATGCTCATCCGTCACAGTGTGCACGTTGAGTGAAGTGTGACATTTTTGATCTAAAAAACCTCGTAAAGGAACCAACGTGCTACACCAAACATTCTGACCATCACTTGTTGATGTCATTCTGACAAACAAACGAGGTCTTTCAAAGGAACTCTTGTTTATGACACAGGACTAAGTGACGTCCACAGACTTATCGCCTGTGTCATGAAAATCGAAGCACCACCAATACCTACCGGTATGATGACATATAGAAGTTATCGAAAATTAGACTGCCAAGCTCTAAATAAAGACATCAGTAAAGCTCCCTTTCACGTAGCCTCAGTGTTTGAAGATATCGATGACACATACTGGTTCAATGATAAACTATTCAACAACATCATCGATGAACACATCCGGTGAAAAACGTAAACATAAGCGTGTAAAGTGTCCTTTTATGAATGTGAGCTCCGAAGAGCATAAATCATAAGAGGAAACTACGCAGGGTTTATGAGAAGTACCGTAGTAAACAAAACTGGGAACGCTTCCGCATACAGCGGAACAAGGTGACTAAATTAAAGAGAGCTTCCATAAGTAACTATTTCATGGAGCGATGCGGTGGCGGGCCACAATCCAAAGATTTTTGGCCCACAATCAAACCATTCCTTAGCAAGACAGGAAGAAGTGAAACTATAAATCTAAGAGATGGAGATCACGTCGTCTCCGACCCTGTCTCAGTCAGTAATCTTTTCAACAATCACTTCTCCAAAGTCGCAAAAGACATTGGTAAAGATATCTCCAGTGTTGAGATCCCAAACCACCCCAGTGTAATCAAGATCAGAGACAGGGTGGGGGACAGTGTACCTCCTCTCACTTTTCATCCTATTAGTACCAAACAAGTGCGTAAATATCTTGATAATATTGGCAATACCAAAGCTACAGGTCTGGATGGTATTCCAATAAAACTTTTAAAGATGGTCAAGGATTCTTATGCAGATCACATCTCAAACTTGGTAAATCTGATGACAAAAACGGGTCAATTTCCAAGTGACTTAAAGCGAGCGAGAGTGACTCCTGTTTTTAAGAAAGAAGACCCTATGATTGTTAAAAACTACAGACCTATCAGCATTCTACCCATTGTAT